GGGCCTATGCGACGGGGCGGGGCTTTGGGCCCGGCGGCGGCGCGAGGAGCGGTGTGGGCGGGGCGCGGGGCCCTCCCGAAGCGGCCGGGGGCGGGGCCTCAGCCACCTGCGAGGGTGGAGGTGCCAGCGGGTCGTTGCTGCGCCTCCACCCTCCTAGCGACGCAGGTTTTCCCAATAGACATAACTGGGGAGGCGTGGGGGGCCCCTGAGATTGGTGGGGCACCCCCAAAAGAAGTGCTGCCACCGCCTGCGGGTGGCCGCCATGCTCCCCGGGGGGCGCACGCCGTCCGTGCTGTTCTCCAACTGGAGTCATAGTCATGCAAGAGAGGCCTCCTCCCCGCCTGCTCACCCACAGCCCACCTCGCCCTGACACAAGGGGCACCCCAGAAAGCATCCGCTGGGTGTTTCACCAGGCGCCCCCGCCCATTGCTGCCTAGGGTGGCCATTCGTCCGGTTTCACAGAGGACAGCCGGATTTCTGCATCTCTGTCCAATTGACACGTAACGGGGTGCCTTTACGTCCTCTATTTTCCTCCGCAGACTTCCACCAGTCTGACATAAAGGTGCCCGGTTTCGGCTCAATTGGACAGAGGATGGAGTAGCAGAAAAGCGGGCTGTCCTCTATAAAACCGGACAAATGGGCACCGTATTGCTCCCACTGGAAGCACCTGAGTTTTGCCCCAGCGGAGAGTGTAAGAGCCTTGCTGCAGCCCTCATGCTCCAGACGTGATACAAGAGGCAGGAATTTCCTAGTGCGGCAGCTTTTCTGGGACCAGCTGTGCAGTCGGGACGTCAGATGCGCTTTCCCATGGAAGAGCTTCTTCCTCAGGTCCCTGAACATAGGACGCTAGGCAGGGCGCATGAAGCCACTTTAGTCTGTGCTGCCCTGTAAACACTTGGGACTAGGCTCTGAAACGGGCACCTAAACAGGGAACTCCACATCTAGAGACTTGTTCTGATGCACAAAGGCACTGAACACCTATGGGTTTCAGTGGCAGTTCAATACTGTAGCTGCTTATCGGTCCCTTTAACTGTCCACGTAGCCTTAAAAATGTGGCTATTGGCATGTATTTGCTACCAAAGAATTAGTACTGTAGGTCTCTCATTGAGAGCACTCTCAGCCTCTAGTACGGGCACAAAGGTGTATGGTAAGTAAGTGCCTTGCACTGGGCAGTCTGCACAGATGCTGTAGTGTTTACTTTGCCTTCAAGCACAGGTGGTGGGAGGTGGGTAGTGGCACATAGGGACTGCAAAACTGCATATTAAAAGGTCAGGGAAGGGTGTGCTTAAAAAACAGTTTTATGAGAAGCAGGGAGGGACAGTTAGTATTAAATGCAGCCCTGGGAATATTCCTATCTTGGCTTCTTCTCAGGTTTTTGTTTTGTCTTTTTGTTTTCTTTTGCCTGTGCCAATTGGCAGTGGGGCTGTTAAAATATATATGACTAGGTGATATCAGCTATCTGCTAGCATTATTGGTAGAAACTATGCCAGAGTGTTGGAAGAATACAAAGAGCTGACTGAAGACATGCATATTGGTCCCTAAATTGTTTTGCAGGCTGAGCTTTCATTCAAGAGTGGGGGGGAAGCAAATATATGTCTTGCTGTTATGGTCACAAAGAAAACCTTCAAAACACAATGTAAGAGTCACCGATGTAGTGATGACTGCAAGCATGCAGAGAGCCTGATACAATAGCTTTGAGAGGTGTGAACTGCTTCTAGTCTCTCTGTGCCAACTCACGCTGATGAAGGATACTTAACAATGTTGACATGTATTTGGCTGCACATGAAACAAGAGAAAGTATGCTATGAAGATGTATATAAGTATGTCCTGAAGTGGCAGTGAGGGCAGGCAGTGGGTACAAAGAAATACTGGGATGCATCATTTAAGATGGCAAAATTGCAGAGCGGTGTGTGATTTGTTGGAGGGACATTAGGCTATGGCCTGTGGCTCTGCAGCTTTCTCTTGTGATGCTGTCAATCATGACAATCGTGTGACAGCCTGAACCCTCATTACACA